CTCCTCGATGATTAGTGAGGTTGAACATTTCTTCATGTGTCTGTTGGCTGCTCAATGTCTTCCTTTGAGAAGTGTCTGTTCATATCTTTTGTCCACTTTATAATGGGGTTGTTTTTTTTTTTTTTTTTTAGTTTGTTTCATTTAGCAGGGGAGGATTTAAAATTAGTATGCTGCTAATCAACCCATTGATTGCCTACAGCAGCACATATAAGAAAACAAATATTTCTCTTTGTAAGCTGGAAATGTATGTCATACCTGTTCAGTTCCATGAGAACAGAAGTATTCAATTTAAAGTGATGGGCAACTTTTTAAATGTATGATAATTATAGAGGCAGAGGGTTTGATTACAACACATTTTATTGTGAAATTTGGCAAATACAGAAAAACCAATAAGAAAATTTAATTCATCTGTAATATACCAGCACCCATTGCTAATAATTTTAACATTTGATATATATCATTCCACCTTTTTCTATTTTTTATTATTATTTTTTTAAATTAGAATCTTGTAGGTCAACAGTGTTTTCTATCATTTAGAGTGTGACGTACATTTTTCCAGGTCATTAAGTATTTTTCTACAATATCTTAATGGCTGTATCATATTCCATTGTATGTGTAATAATTGTTTTAATTAATGCCTTATTGTTTGTCAGATTTTTTTTACTGATGTTAAAAATGGGTATGTTTGTAGATACCATCTTGTTCTCCTTCTTGTTTTCTTAGACTAATGAATTCTTCTTTGCCCTCTAGCTTCTTGTTATATCACTAGCAGTGTGTTAGAGAGCTTATTCTTTCCATATTTATGTGTTCTATTATTTTATTTGATCGTTGCCAATTTGTTAAATTTAAAATGGAATTTCATCACTTTGATTTTCATTTTTTAGACTTTTCAAAACTGTTAAATTATTCATGTGCAACTGTTCTTTTGTAAACTGCCTAGCCTTTTCATGTCCTTTGCTCATTATGCTGGAACTTTTAATTTTGTTTTTTTTTTTGTTTTTTTTTTTTTTGAGTTGGAGTCTCACTGTCGCCCAGACTGGAGTGCAGTGGCCGCTCCCAGCCACCGCAGCCTCGACCTGCTGGGCTCCGGCGATCCTTCCGCCTCAGCCTTCCGAGTAGCCGGAATTACAGGCATGCGCTACCATGCCCAGTTGATTTTTTGATTTATTGTAGAGATGAGGTCTCGCTGCCCAGGCGGGTCTTGAACCCGCGGGCTCAGGCAATCCCCTCACCTCAGCCTCCCAAAGGTGCGGGATTACAGGCTGAGCCACCGAGCCCGGCTCTAATTTTGTTTTTAAAAATTTTTTATATTTATAGATTTAGGGGGTACAAGTACAGTTTTATTACATGGTGTATTGCATAGTGTGAAGTCTGGGCTCTTAGTGTACCCATCATCCGAATAGTATACATTGTACCCAATAGGTAGTTTGTCATCCCTCACCCCATCCTTACTTCCACATTTTGGAATCTGCAATGTTTGTTATTCCCCTCTGTCTGTCAATCTTAGTGAAACATGACTACTTTCTGTATAGTCTTATTTCATTCTGAGGACTCAAGGCCATGATCAAAGGTCATGTGCGTAGTCTATAAAAGGTAATTTTACAAATGCGGTACACAGCCTTGTTTGGGTCCTGAATTGAGGGGAAAATGTCTGTAAAATATATTTTGGAGCTAGCAGGATAAATCTGAACATAGATTATAGCTTAAAGGACATTGTGGGATTAATTTTCTTAGAGGTGAGAAGTCCATAATAAAATAATTGGTTAAATACGTTTCACATGATGAGAAACTCTGCAGCCAGCCATTAAGAATGATGATGTAAATCTACTTTTATTGAAGTACAGAGGACAGCAACATAATGATGTCCAGTTGTTAAATCCCGTGGTCAATTCTTGTCTGAACTTGACAGTTCTCAGCAACCATCTTTGCATGGTTTCAGGATGCCGCATCCTCTGGCCTTTCTCCAGACTCGCTGGGTACTCTTCTCCCCTGCTGCTGGTGGACACCTGGCCCTCTTCTCCATCTACACTCACTTATTTGGTGAACTCAGTAAAAAACACATGACTGTACGAGCATACGTATGAGGACAGTCCTCCGATTTGTATCTCCAGCCAAGCCTTCTCTCCCAAACCCCAGCTCCACTTACCACTGCCTGCTTGGCACTGCCAGTCCTTGATAGATGTCTCAACAGCACTGAGTTCCCGGTCTTCTCCCATAAACTGGCTCTACCCACAGAATTCCCCACCTCAGCTAATGGAGACTACAGATGTACATTCTTCTAGTTGCTCAAGACAAACACCTTTCCGTCATCTTTGAGGCCTCCTTTTGGTCACACCCTAATTCACACTGTCATAAAACCTCTTGACTCTATCTTCATTTCCAGTACCGCCCAGGCCCGCTGTCATAGCTCACCTAATTTACTGCAAGAACGCCTGATGGTCTCCCTGTTTCAACCCTTATCCCCACTGAGTCTGTTCTCAGTATAGCAGCCATATTTTAATGTGTGAGTCAGATCCTGTCACTCCTCTGCCCTGGTGTCTACAACGAGTCTCCATTTCACTCAATGTAAAAGCCAAGCCCTCACAAGGCCTGTCTTTCCATTGTCCTTTCCAGTTAGCACGGGCCTTTTGGACATTCTTTGAACTGGTCAGGCATGTGAGACAAGGACTTTAAACTCAGTCTGAGTTCTAGCTCAGTTACTGGGATGTTTCCAAACTTTGGTTTCCCATCTACAAAATGGGCATCATCTGTCCCGTCCACCTCACATGATTCTAGTAGAAGTGCTTTTTAATCCTAAAGCCTTCTGCTATGATAATAATGTACAAGGGTTATTACAGTTTTCAAATGTCACCTCTAAAACTTATCTTGCTTTGCTTGGGAGTTTTTTGTTATTCATATATAGATATATAGTTTTAACTCTATCCAGAGAGGCCTCTTACTTGTTTCTGTACCCTAGAGTTCAGTGCAGTTCTTGGCCCAAGGGAAGAGAAGGGAAGGGGAGGGGAGGGAAGAAGATGAGAGAGGGAAAGGATGTGAGAAGGAAGGTCGTTCCATGGCTAGAGCACAGGTTTGGGAGCCAGCTGGTCCTGGTTAGAGTCCTAGCCCTACCACCTAGCAGCTGTATGACCTTGAGCAAGTACCTTAGTTCCCTTATCTGTAATTTGAAGATAATAATAGTTGCTTTTTCATAGAGTTGTGAAGAATTTAGGGAGCTAGTCCTTGGAAAGGGCTCCACACATTTTTTGGCACATGTTTTGAGTGTTAGTCCTCTCCTCTAAGGTTCTGATCACCTTAGGCCAAATTACAGAAATGCTCTTAGAACAAAATAAGGTCTTTGTCTCCATCCAACAGCTAAAACATTAAAGCATCAAAGCAGCTCAGGTTGTTTTGTTTTGTTTTGTTTTGTTTTGTTTTGCAACTTAGGAGTTATCATATACTATTATATTATGTTATATTATATCATACTATTTTATATTCATATATAGACATATACACTGCAACAAATTGCTTTCTCTAAGTTACTAAATTTGGAGGGCACTTGTATTTCAGAGTTGTCCTTGGCTATCTTGCTGACCCAAGTGAGGACATTCAGGATCCAGTGAGTGACAAATTCTTCAAGGAGGTGTGGGTTTCAACAGCAGCTCGAAATGCTACAATTTATGATAAGGTGAGGTTTGCATATTCCCCCCCCCTTTTCATTGAATCTCATCACAAAAAAAGCACATCATTGTTTCTGCATATTATCGGTACAGAGTATTCTTAATGAATTTTTTAAAGCCCAATATACTTCCAGGCTGTAATAAAATACGTCTTTGTAGACACTGAAAAACAAACTCAAAAAGCATCATGGATTATGGTTCAGAAGAGGTTTTAACAGCATTCTGATCTCTAATGTAGGGATCCCATCATGAGCCCCTTTAGCACGTTTGCCCAACTTTTGTACATGTTTAGTGACAAAGAGAAGAGGGACACATGGGATCAAAAAAATGAGTCAGAGCTGCATTCAACCCCACTCAGCCTTTTGCTCGTGCCATAACCTTGTGTATAGTGACTTGACTTTCTGAGATTCCCTTTCCTTGGAAGTGATATTCACTAGGGTAGTTATGAGGATAAAGAATAGTCTATTAAATGTATTTATCAAACAGTGTGTAGTAAATGGTATCAATCCTTATGGTGAAGCGTATTAATAATGAGACATATTCTTGGTTGGATGGCTCTAACTTTAGAAAGGTGTTTTAAAATCAGCTGCATTTGTGTCCAAATGCATCTCCTGTGAAGTCTATCCATGTGTTATGACAATAATGTACAAGGATTAAGAATTGTCTAATAGTAGGCCAGATTACCTCAAGAAGTATCTATCTTCCCATCATGGAAAATATTCAAGCTGAGATTCACTGACCACCTATGAGAAACTGGGTATGAATGTGTTTTCTTCTTCATGACTTCCAGAATCCCTTCCAGCATGGTGATGTCATCATTCTTAATGAAACATGACCACTTTCTGTATAGCCTTATTTCATACTGAGGACTCAAGGCCATGATCAAATGTCATGTGTATAGTCTTTAAAATGTAATTTTACGAATGCAGTGCACAGCCTTGTTTGGGTCCTGGATTGAGGGAAAAATATCTATAAAAGAGATAACAGGATAAATCTGAACATAGACTATAACTTAAAGGACACTGTGGAATTAATTTTCTTAGAGGTGAGAATGGCTCTCTGATTATATAGGCACATGTCCTTATTCTTAAGAAATACATGCTGAGTTATTCAGGGATGATGGATTATGATGTCTAAAGCTCATTTACAAGCAGCAAAGTGTTATATATCAACAATTGGTAACTCTGTGTAAAGGGACAGATATGAACATCTTTCAAAAGAACATTAGGGCATACATGATATGCAATTTTTGTCTTAGACCAGAATCTGTAGTGAAATTCAAGGATGATTATTATCCAAAAAATTAATGTGTAGTAACATCAGTAACATTTTTTACCACTAGCTTGACTTTATTCTCAGGTTAATGACTGTGTACATTGGATATAAGGATCAAGCCATGATTTTTTTAAGATAGTAGCAGACCTATTTATTTGTAACATGTAAGGTGACCAACTCTTAAATCAGGTCTGTGCTGTCACATACAATTAATATGCATTTCATAAATTTAAGGTCTTGTTTAGTGGAATAATTATTTTCCATAAAGGACCTATGTTTTCTTTAAACTTATCACTTGATTTTCTATTTATGTTCTAATCAGGTGTTTCGGTGCCTTCCCAATGATGAAGTACACAATTTAATTCAGCTGAGAGACTTTATAAACAAACCCATATTGGCTAAGGAAGATCCCATTAAAGCAGAGGAGGAACTGAAAAAGATCCGTGGATTCTTGGTGCAGTTCCCCTTTTACTTCTTGTCTGAAGAAAGCCTACTGCCTTCTGTTGGAACTAAAGAAGCCATGGTGCCCATGGAGGTTTGGACTTAAGAGTTCTACTGGTTTACAGCTCAAAGACTTCTACCCCAAAGACCACATGCACACAGTGACTTCCTGAGACATCATAATCAAAGCCAGGCTCGATGCACTCCATATCCAACCCAGGGACCCTTGGGAGTAGCTGGGAAGGATTGTGGTCATACTGGTATAAGGACACTGAGTAGCAGCAAGGCTTTGTGATTCTGTCTGACTAAACTTGTGAAAGGGGTGTGCGTGCTTGTTGTACTCAAATCCCATTGCATATGCCAAAACCCATTTTCTTTGTAACAGGAATTTACCTGTAACTGTGATCCAGGTTGCCAAAAGTTGTTCGAGCTTCCTTATTTTTCTCTGATCTTCATTTGTGGAGTCAGTATCTGCTGGGACATGCCCTCAATGCATAGTCCATAAAGACACTGTTTGAGATATTGTTTATTACTAGGAGATATCATGCTGCTGCTGCTCTGAGATTCTTCAAGGTCACATGGGATGCCCCTGCCCATCCAGCCTTAAAGTTGTAGTGTCCACCCAGTCAAGGACATGGTCATTATTTCTTTCAGTTACTGTATGGACAGGACAGACATTAGGCTCTACATCACAGCCTATGTTAGACACTTCTGATGACATTGGCAGTATATCTTGACACCACAGAGCAGCAGGAAGGAATTCAGTTCCTATGCTTTGCTCCCAAAGGCACTGATAAGATGTGTCCTCATGGTTAGACCCCCCGATCAGATATGAAAACATGCGTAGGATGTGTGATTCCACAGCAACCCAATAAAACTCAGAGCACACAGCCTTCAGAAACCTCCAGTGTGTCAGGGGTATCCATTCCAGATTTTAAAAAAAGGAGATTCCTTCTAGTCCTGTAAAATTCCCTGTCATCCCTAGCGGCTGGATTAAAATTTGAGTTTAAACATTTCAAAATCAGTGAATACTATTTGTCTTTCAAGAGAATCAGTCTTCATAATGCCTACAAAGCTGACAAGTGCAACTCTAACCTTGTTTGACATTCAGCTTTCCTGCTATGTTATCTTCTTTAAGAAAAAATTAATTGATTATAAAATATGTGCCACTTCACTTGCATGATTAAATATACATTAACATTCCAGCAGAGCTTCTGATGAAGTTAGAATACTTGCTGATTCTCATTGTCCTAGTCTGTGAATTGTTCTGAAACACATTTCCTCTTCAGATGTTAGAGTATTCTTTGATAGGCCAAAATTATACTAAGCAAACTACTCTCATAGTCTGAAGAGTTATTGTGGGTTCCTAAGGCTTGTGCTCATAAGACATATCTATGGCTTATCTGGATAGACTGTCATTTGGGTTGTTCTTCAAAGAAGCGACACCCAATCCCTGTTGTCATGGAGCTGATACTTCAGACGGAAAGGTTAAACAGGACCACAAAGTCATTGATGTGATTTAGCAGAAGAGCGAGACGGTGTCACATCCAAGAGAGGATGCCACAGCTAGCGGATTTCTGTAACCAGCAATGGAAATGAATGTTTTATGAGTAAATAACTTACTTCTCATATGACTGAAGATGACAAAATGACTTCATTCCATGGCAGTTGTAAATAAGATTTGCTATCTGTCAAAGAAATTTAGGTTGGCATTTGAAGTATTGAGTATGTGTGGAATACCTCAGGATTCCTTATATTTTATTTTAAAATATTTTTTAAACCTTAGAACTGTTAGCAAACTGGCTCTTGATTTTGTGCAAGATGTTCCCATAAAACTACAACAAATAAAAGTCTGAAGAGACCCTTTCCCTTAAAAAGTCAGTTAATCCAACCCCTCCCCATATTATAGATGAGGAAACTAAGGCTCCGATGGGATGAAGAACTCACTTAAGTCCACTCACCATGTAGATGGTGGAACTGGGACTAGCAAAATTGCCACAGTCTGTTCTTGGCTTCTCTCTTCACTTCGCTGCCCGGAAATGAGGACATGCAGCAAGCAGGTTTTACAGCATCTCTACGCTGTTGGAGATGTCCACAGCCACCGTCTCACTGTGTGCTCACAGGACGAAGAGGTGCTGCATCTATGTGTTTGTCTGTCTCCCCCTACTAGAACGGAAGCTCCATGGGGCAGGGACCTTGCGTATTTTGTTCATAGTGTATCCCCAGAGCCTGGAGCAGTACCTGGCACATAAGAAGAGCTGTCGATAAATGTTTAGTGGAATTATAAACAAGGTGAGGGAGAGAGCTAATGAAATGAAAAACTTAGTTTCAGGCAAGAAATTATCTTGCTGGTATCTGTTGCATCTTCTCAAAGGCAAAATGCTCATCTGAAAGAGGCAATGGGATTTACTTGAAAGGATTTTGTGGAAAATTCCATGCAGTAAGTGTCTTTTTTGCAGTAGCAGTTTATGTAGTGCAGCATTCAGCAAACATCACGTGGAATGTGGCCACAAGATGTACTGTATTACCTCCTTACCTGTCATTCTCTGACACCGTTACTAGAAGTTCAAATAGTTTATCTTTAACATTGCAAAGTCTGATAATACTTTTAAAATGTAAATAACTCAAAGCCTTGAAAATCTATCATGAATCTGTTCAACATTTTGAATTGACTATAATCTTTTGAAATGCCTATAAATGCTATACCTGACACCCTGCTGATCTCTGCAGTAATTTTTGTTTTCAAGAAGGAAAAATTCTGGTATTACAAGAAATGAAGAATGGAACATGGTTATGGCCTGTTAAAGCTATTCAGATTAGCCAAATTAGGCGTTGCCGGTGCAAGCCTTTGTTCTGAGTCATGTGTCCAGCCCTTGACTCACCTTCAGTGGGATGTTTTGAGTTCTTAGCTGTAATGCATTGCTGAGAGGTATGGAGAGCTGGCCATTAGATAATTGTGTGGCATACTGTAAAAGAAAATATCGACTTTCAAAGCACCTTTGAAAGAAAATTTTGTCTCTCAAAATATGAACAGTTAATTTTATATATTAGAACTTGGGAAATTAGATCATGAATTAACAATCTTCCAGGTGAAAACATGCTAAGTCATTTTGCAGATGTAGATTGGGCAAAATAGATTGCATGTGTATATAGTGATGGACTTTTTTCTGCATCACCTCATTCCTTATGCCTTCAACCTCTATTCCCAACCAAAGCACCTCCTTATTATATAAAAACCATTGTAGAAGATAAGAAGAAATGTCCTGGAAAAACCAAAAGTAGGCCTTAAATTCATCTGCTCAGGCTGCCAGAAGAAGGTGCCATAGATTGGGTGACTTAAACAACAGAGATTTATATTCGGCAAGTTTGAAATTGGGGTGCCATAGGGTTGGTTTCTGGTGAGGGCTCTCTTCCTGGCTTGTTTCCGGTCACCTTCTCACTGTGTGCTCACAGGACAAAGAGAGAAAGCTCCCTGATGTCTCTTATAAGGGCACTAATTGCATCATGAGAGGCCCACCCTCATGACCTCATCTAACCCTCATACCTCCCAAAGGTCCCATCTCCAAATACCATCACACTGGAGGTATGGGCTTCAACATATGAATTTGAGGGGAGGCACAAACGTTGTCTGTAACAAGCCTGTATAGTAAATCTTCATTAATTCACAGTTTTAAGTGACTGACACAATATTATGTTTTCACCGAGGTCATTGTTCTTTTTAACTTCTCTGATCTGATGTGTTTCCTGAGCATTTTCAGGTGCCTGTCATCCTCTGTGGCAGGGATGAAGAGGACTCTCTTTGTCTCTATCCCTCTCTACTCTTTCTAGTTTAAAATGGGCAAATGTTAAAAAATTTTAGATGTGCTGGAAATACGTTTTTGTTTCTTTGGGAGATTTGCTGAGGTCAGCTGGCAGTTTGGTGATCTATAATGAGTTTGCCCAGCCTAGTCCTTGAGAGATTCTTGTATCTAGAAATCCACTGGAAATGGAATTCCTCAACCTCTATCAATAAAATACAAGTAGAAGGATCAATGAATTTGCATTATTTTTAAGGGGGCAAGGAACATAATATCATTCCTAACGTCAGTTTAATTCGCATGTAAGATATTCCTGGCTTTCACTTGAGATTGGAAGGATTCATGAAAGGAATAAAAAATGTCACCACTTCATTTTATAGGTTATTTTATTTTTCCTTTATACCACTTATGCTTTTTAGCCTAAAAACAAAAAGTAATCAAACACTGGATAAAGGAAAATTTGTCATACTGTAATCATATTAAACTTTTAAGTTCTAAAGTCAGGTTGGATGACAGTCAAGCCAAAACATAGGCTTAATCACTCTACCCTATTTCCAAGCAACTGTCATTTTTCACTTTATTCTAGATAAATGTATTTAAGTTAATGTCTTCCTGGCTCTGTGTAATGCTAGGAAATATAACATCAGGCCAGGCACGGTGGCTCACTTTGGGAGGCCAAGGCTGGAGGATTGCTTGAGCTCAGGGGTTCAAGACCAGGCCAGGCAACATAGCAAGACCTCATCTCTACAAAATGGGCTGGGGTTCAAAAGGCAGTCGTCCTCATCTACACAACACTTCCGCTGAAACACTTCCAACCATGTGTGTTTATGAGGGCTTGTTTGGGAGAAGCCCACCCACTTGAGCTGGCCACTTCTCTTCCTAGAACCAAACACCATGTAATTGTGGTTCCTGAAAGGGCGAGGCTGTGTTCTTTGAGTAAATCTATTATAAAATGTTGAGCCACGAAGTAGGGACACTTGAAAACCCTGTTGAAGCAGGAAATTAAAACTTCCTCAAATCTGTCTAGTTGAAGTACACTGAATATTTTCTCCTTTCTCTAGAGGAACAGCAAACTTTTTCTTAGAGTAAATATTTTAGGATTTGTGGAACATACAGTCACGAAGGCACATAATCACTTATGTGTGTGTCTATGCTCCAATCAAACTTTATTTACAAAACAGGAGGTCCAGCCTTAGTTGGCCAGACTCGAGAGAGGCAGCTAGGAGCTCTGGTTCTCTCCAGAATATCTGGGTATCCTGAGTGGATATTTATCACCCAACATTTGCTTTTTGTGCAAGAGCATGTATGCTCCAACTGCAATACTTTGACGTAAATTTGTAAAATGTAGACGGTCAGCCCCTTTAGCCCGTCCATTTTATGTGAAGAATCCAAGTGGAATACACATCAGGAGGGCATGAAGTTTTGGGTTGTTTTTTGTTTTTGTTTTTTTGAGTCGGGGTCTCCTCCTGCCACTCAGGCTGAAGCGCAGTGGCACTGGCTCACTGCAGCCTCGGCCTCCTGGGCCCGGGGGATGCTTCCGCCTCGGCCTGCGAGGGGCTGGGGCTGC